TAGATGTTAATATGACTCCTACTTGTAGAGAGCGTCTTCTAAATATTTTTTAACTGGTTTGAAAAGTAATAATCTTTCGTCCGTACCTGTATGAAACTACTGAATGAGAAAATATATATTTACGACGTTTTTTATGTAAAAAAGGTCTTCTAGTAAAAATCGTTTCAAGTAATAGTTTTCGAGATATTTGGAACCGAAATTACCAATATCTGTCATCATTTATATAAATTAAACATGTTGACTAAATATTTATTAGACTGAAATCATAAATTTGAAATGTTTTTGTACCAAAAGCACAAATTACTTATAACAGGTGCGAAAGAACACCGAATTACGCGTTCAGGTTTCTGTGACCTTCAGAAAGAATTCATAGACAATCCGCATCAATGTATAGTTTGGGTTATTATTTGTTTGGGTGAAAATAATCTCCACCAATATGTTATCGAGGCATACAAAAAGGTCCACAGACTTCGAGACATACGAAAAATCAAGTCCATTTAGCGTGTGTCGCAATTTTCACACCTTAAAAAATTAGTTTTTTATAGCTATAGCAACTGCAGCGACTATGAAAAAAGCTGTGTGATTTTCATAGAAAATAAGGGCACCTGTAATTCATTTGAGAATGTTATAAATCGCTAAAAGAGGTTTAAATCTCTTGGATTTCTATTAATATTAAATAAATTTTATTAAAAATTGAACTAAAATTGTTAGCATCATTAAAAACATTTCAAATTCAAAAATTGTATCAGTCAAATTCCCTTATTTAAGGTGAATATTAGAGTAAATATAAATACAGCTCATTCTAAGCTCTACTTATCTTTAAGAAAAATTTAAATCATTGTTGCAATTGGGCCTTAATGCCATTTCGAATGAACAATAGTATTAATAATGTACATTATAATAATAATAAATTTTATATCATAGTGTGTATTAAAACTACTAAAACACTTTTAAATTGATATTATATTAACAACTTTTGTTTTTTAATCCAAAAAAAAGTTACCAATTTTCTCAATCAAAATATTTGTGGTCCTGAAAAGGATCTTCGTTTTCCCATATTCGTCAAGGTAGGTAATGGGTAAACGGTAAAAAAACAGGAAAATGAAATTTAAAAAATTACAAAAATTGTTCAAAAGTGCCTCCCTCTTGCATTAAACCAAACAATCATAAAATCCCCTCCACACATTGGATAACATATCAGGGGTGACAGTGTCAAAGGCATTAAATATTTTTTGCCTTAACTGCTCCAAGTTTTGAATTTCTTCATGGCCGTAAATTTTAGATTTTATGTACCTCCATAAAAAGAAATCATTCACCGAGAAGTCAGGTGAAATTAAACGTCAGTCTAAACAAAACTGCCATTTTTTAAAACTTGTCAAAATTTGGACACACGCTAGTAATATTATCGTTTTTAGCAAAACGATAATATTACTAGCCCATTTGTATGCAAAAAGAAAACTAGTTAAATCTTTATAAAAGAGTATACCATTAATTAAATATAACACCATTATTTCCGCCCATATACTAATTAATTACATACTTAATTGTGTTCGTTAATAAATTATTATAAATAAATGTGGATTTGAGTCAGAAATATATAATAATAAGTTATCAAATTAAAGTCTCTGTTGTTATAAATAAGCATTTATTAAAAATGAAATATCATTTTTAAGGTGTTACTTTTATCACACTGTCTAATGCCCATACAAAATTCAGTTTTTTAGTATTTGGAGCAATTATTATTAATCAACGCAAACAGTCAGTTAATGTAGTTTGAATACTGGAATCATATTAATTGGTCCTCTTTAACAAATATTTAAACAGTTTTTTTTATTTTTTAATGAAATATATCTATATAGTATAGACACTCTGTATAAAGACATTTTTAGACACTCTGTATAAGGTAGTATTATTTTTATTATTGCAACACAATAACTGATCAGTAAATAAACTTCAGTAAATATTTAGTATTAAAAACTTTGATACCCTTGGAGAAATTAAGCCTTAAAATTTTTACTGCAATTTCACAAAATTGAAAATATTTCAAAAACGGTAAGGTTTAAAGTATAATAAACCTTAATCAAATTTACCTTTATTTTAATGTAGAAACTAAAAATGTAATAATATACAGGGTGTTCCATTTAAAAAATACAACTTTGATATTTTTTACTTATTTGGGACACTCTGTATCTTGTAAAATTATTTTTAAATTGTACCTCTAATAGTCCTTCATCGAACCCAAAACTTACAATTTGTAAAAATCTCATCGTTTAGCTACAATACTCCGTGTCGTATGTGGTGAACAACCCTGTATAGAAAATTCCAAAGAAAATAAGAAAAAAGTGTCATGTAATATTTTGGATAACATTTCTAGCAATGATTGGTCTACAACAAGTTCAAGCACTCAGGGAATAAATATACTTTCTAAAAATTCAACTCACCTGTCATCGTCTGGAATTAATTTAACCCATTGTACTGATATTATAATTAATGTTTACAATAAATAAACGTATTTAGGTACCTTTTTTTGCTTGTTTCTTATTTTAAAATTTGCGTTTTATTATGAATTCATAATAGCACTAGTGTATTATGAAAGCCATAATGACATCCAAATGACAATGTTAAATGTGTCATAATGACATTGTCGTAGATTAAAAAAATAAAAAGTTCCCAAATTTATCATTTCAGTTAAATAACTATTTACTCAATATGTTTGTTTTTTTCAACGGTAAAACTCAACTCTTTCAACGGTAAAATACAAGAGAAAAATCATTGGGTGGTTTTGATAAAAATTTACTGCGGAAAATGCCATATGAAATTCAAAACAGCAATATCTGCGAAACCGTTAAAAAAATTTGGAATACTCTATATACAAAAAATGTTCATTTTTTAATTCTCCATCTACTACCATTTAAAAAAAAACGAAAAAAAAATATTTCATATTTTAGAAAGTTTGGCGCAGAATTTCGAACATCCTGTATGATTTACGGTTACCACATTTATAGCAAAGTAAATACAGACCATCTAAAGTAAATACATAATATAGTTTTGATTTCAAGACAGTTCTTGTATTTTCAATATTTTTTTTAACAAAGGCTGAAAAATATTTTATTTTTGTTTATTTATTAATATCTCTAACACTATCGAAATATATTTATTCATATCTTAGAATTATGTAAAGTGATTTGAAAAGAATCCAAAAATGCAATACTATACAGGGTGTTTCATTTAAAAAAATCATCACACTCACTTTCTTGAGCCATCCTATAGAAGTTCAAATATTTACTTCAGAAAAATATTTCCTAAAATACATCATACGAGCCCTAACAACTATATGTTGGGACAAGGTCATATTTTGGAATTATTGTCCTGGTTTTTCAAAATGACTGAAAAATATATGTTTATTTTTTTAAATATAAACATAGCCATATTATATCCTAAACAACTTGACAATATTTTTATGAATTTGTAAATCAATCCATATTTACAGTAGTGGATTTTGTTCATAAAAGGACAAATTTGCTGACAACTAAATGTTGGGACAAGTATTTTTAAAGTAAATTTCTGATAATTTAAGTATGCCAAAAACCACGGTCTTTAATATAATAAAAAAAATACGCCAGAATAGAATCTGCCAATGTAGACGTTAGAGGTAAAAGTTCTGGAAGGCCAAAAGTTGTATCTCAGAGAGATTTACAAAATTTAGTAAAAATTTGCGCAAGTCTGCGAGAAGAAGTACTCTTCGCGAAGTTAACAGTTAAATGGAATACTGTAACTGGTTTAAATATATCAAGAGAATGTTGCCGAAAATATATCCATAAATGCGGTCTGGGGTTTTACAAGGTAAACTTTATTTTGTGTGGATAATCAATTACCTAAAGATTATTCAGACAAATTCTTATTTAGGCCAAAGAAAAACCGCTACTGACAGAAATTCAAAAGAAAAATCGCTACAATTGGGCAAAATCTAAATTATCGTGGACACAAAATGATTGGAATAAGGTCATATTTAGCGATGAGTCTAAATTTGATGTTTGCGTTGGAGATCATCGAAAACGAATAATACGAAATAAAGCAGAAGCCTTTCATAAAGATTGCTTAAAGAGGGTTGTTAAATTTCCTAAGGGGATTATGGTTTCGGGTTGCATGTCAAGAGGTTTGGGCAAATTAAATTTTATAGATAGCACTGTTAACGCCCAAAAATATCAACATATACTTGAGACCTCACTTTTGCCTAGTGCTCAAGAATTGTTTCCAAACGATGACTATATCTTCCAACAAGATGGAGCATCGTGCCATTTAGCAAGATCAACTAAAAATTGGTTCGGTAATAATAATATAAAAGTTCTATCCCATCCTTCAAGTAGTCCGGACCTCAATGTTATAGAAACTGTGTGGCATAAAATGAAGCAATATTTAAGAAACCACCCTCAACGAACAATTTTTGATTTGCGGACAAAATTGCAGGAAATTGGGGATAATTTTTCTCCTCAAATGTGCCAATCTTTGGAAAATATAATGCCATTAAGAGTTCAGGCAGTTGTTAAGGCGAAAGGTGATGTAACTCCGTATTAAACAAATTTCTTGTTGTGCTGTCCCAATATATAGTTGTCAGCAAATTTGGCTTGATTTTGGCAAAATAAGCTATTATCTAAAGTGATTTGTTTGCAAAGTTATAAAAATATAGTAAAATTGTCTAGATCATATTGTAATGTTTGAATTTAGAATAATAAACAAAATAAATTGAGTCGTTTTAACAAATTACTATTTTTATTGCAAAAAAAGACCTTGTCCCAACATATGTATAGTTGTTAGGGCTCGTAGAACATACTTAGGTTAGCACTTAAACAAAATTTCCAAGTTCTTTATTCTAGGAGCTACAGATGCCCGACGCACTATTGCCGTACCCTGTATATCTAGGGTATTTATGTATAGAGTTCATTTAACATACTTGTCAATAATGTCTATCACCTACAAAAACACGGTTATAAAAATAGTTTGACATTTTACCACTCATCTGACAGTACAAATTTCTGTAAATCTTATTCCATACTCTTATCACAAAAATTTCAGTTTAAAAATCATAATGAGCATAACGTTAACACTGCATTTCATCAGCACCATGTGCAGGGAAGTAATTTCCCAGCACGATATCACCCTGAATTTCCCGACATTTCCCATCTATCACAAGTTAGTGGACGATATGTACGATACGTGGCCATCGTTTCCCGAGGAAAACCTTTGTATTTATTGGCGATATTCAGCCGGAAAATTTCTGGAAATTGTCGATTATTTGTCCTTTTTCACGTTTCTCAATTTGATGGTCGAACCAAAATTGTACGTGGTGGTAAAAGACTGCGATAAAGTCTATACCTACATGCAAGAATTCTTTGAGATGCTCGATTTGATCGAGCTAAAACAGGAAAAAGAAACACAAAGAAACAAATATGACTTGAAATCAGAAGGTAAGAAGATAATATACAGTTCATGCCAAATAAACTTTTATTCACGTGATTAAGCTTGACCGGCACACCGTTGCCCACTCTGATATACAGGGTGTCCCACTTAAGATGGATACAAGTCAATATCTTGGTTGTTTGTTGAGCGATCTTTTTCATTTTTGGCAGGAGGCTGTATGGCTATAAGATGAACATTTTGCCCAGGGTAAGAAATGCGATACCTCATAGACGTACGTTTTAATGGGGTTTGATATTTTTCGACTCAAGAGTAAACTACCCTTAGGACAGTATTTGTTTTAAATCTGATAAATTATATTGAATCCTCCTTACTTAAGATACTTAAGTTCTAATTTTGATAAATAATGATACAGGGTACGTCATTAAAATAAGACAGTTAACTATAACAGCGACTTTTATTTCACAGATAGTGATCAGTGGCGGCTCGTGGTTATTATTGTAGGGAGGTCAATATCTAAAAATATTGCGTCAATTTTTTTTAAGACGCGACCATATTTAACTGGTTTCTTACAAGGTGCTTGTACGTTTAGTTAAAGGAAAATAAATCTAAAAATAAATACAAATTATGTTAAAATCAAACCTACCCTTACATTTTTAAACAGATGGTCTAGTGTTATTTCACTAAAAGTCCAGTCAATGTTCTTTACACAAATTTTCCACGGTAGGATTTAAAATACACATAAAAATAATAATGTCACAAAAATATAAATACATATATACACATACACATTTCTAAAAGTTTTATTTCACATTTTTTTTTTATATTTTAAGTCAATGCGACGTTCTTTCTCTAAACGTTTTTCGAAATTTAAGCAATTGTTTTCTTTTAACAACACGATTTTACAAACTAAACACCTTATGTTGTCTATTTGAAAATATCTATTCCAGAATCAGTCAACAAAAAGAGTTCATAATTTATCCAGGACCAGAAAATTATGAATTATTACCTACCCAAATTACGCGCGGTATCTCAAAACCCTCCGCTACGACAAAGTTACGGCAACTTAAACTAAATTTTTTTGGCTGTACTTAAACTGCCGTTAAACGGTAGCTTACTAAAATGCCGTTAATAGGTATGACATCGTTGATGTGACGCACTTGACGGCTTTATGAAATATAGGAATTTTATAAGGACTAACCAACGCTATCCGCCCCTCCAAATAACCAACTTAACCAACGCAACTAACCTCGACACTGATAAAAATTATAAAAAACAAATATAAATTAGTAAAAATCAACCAACCCCACCAAATAACCAACTAACCAATGAATTAACACCCTCCAAATTACCACGCTAACCAATCCGCCAAATAACTAAACCAATCCAACCAAAAAGAGTGAAACTAATGCAATAAGATAAGCAAAAAAAAATATAAAAAAGTTTTGGTCGGCGTGAGATTTGAACCACGGACCATTCGCTTACGAAGCGATAGCCTCAGCCACTGACCCACAGGTGCTCTTGCAAAAGGCTTAAGGTTAGGCATTACTTTCCGCCGACATGAACGACGTTACAATATCTATTAACGGCATTTTAGTAGGCTACCGTTTAACGGCTGTTTAAGTACATCGATTTTTTTTTTCGATATTAAAAATTTAAATATTGATTTATATTGACTAAACCAAACATTATACGCGATATTTCTTAATCAACTATATTGATTCTCAGCTAATAAACAGTATTACAAATTACAATAATAACACGCTAGTTTCTAGCTACGCAACAGAAGCCTCGTTACACGTATAAAATCGTAGGTATCAAAAGGAGACAGGCTTTTAAAGCCTGTCTCCAAATCAGATATTTTGATGCGGTAGTTTCGCTACTACATAATAGAGGGCGATAAATTTAAAAGAAAACAGTTTTCTACAAATGAAATTTAAAAGAATTTTATGCAGTGTTGCCATTGTGTAATTCATATTGTAATACTTCCTTATAAAGCCTACCTTCAAATTTGCTACATCATTTAAACATATTAAAATAAATCAGAGCTCTTTTTTCAAACGTTTAGGTATTTAATTTAGCCGAGTTAAATCTTACGAGCTGAATTACAATCACTTTGTGACGTTTGATTGTAACTGAATTTCCTGGCGTTCGATTGGACTTATACTTGGTATAGTAAGTATCTTCGGTGACATTGTAATATGATGGTGCTGTGTACATATAAAGTGGTACCTTAATATAGTACCATATTACGATACCACTTCCTGACGTTCGATTGGGCTCATATTTGATTTTTTTTATTCATATTGCGTATTTTTGATGACATTGCAATATTATGGTACCATGAAGCATATCAAGAGGTACCATAATGTAGTACCATATTACGATACTATTTCCTGGCGTTCGATTGGGCTTAAACTTGGTATACTACGTATCTTCGATGACATTGTAATATGCTGGTATTATGATGCATATAAAGTGGTATACCTAATAGTACCATACTACGATACCATTGCCTGGCGTTAGATTGTGCTTAAATTTGGTATACTACGGATCTTCGATGACATTGCAATATTATGAAGCATATCGAGTGGTACCACAATATAGTACAATATTATGATCATTTCCTGGAGTTCGATTGGGCCAAAATTTGGTATACTTGTGTTTCTTTATAAAGATTTGTTAATTAATAATTTTAATTTATTTTACGAATTTTAATTTATTGTACGATATCGTGACAGCAACTTTTATGCCGAACTAATATATTATTAATTGTACCTATGTCACTTTTTAAAATCTACCTAGGTATATAAATAATGTGGTAAACAGAAGAAATTTGTTATTATAGTATTTTTTTAGTCAATTAAGATTTTTTATACTGCATTTTAATAAATTAATTTCCATTATTACAAAAGGTATTTACACACATTACTAACGTTTCAGCATTAATATATATCACTATCAATCGCCCTGTATATTAATTAATTTTAAAGGTAATTAAAGTTATTTTCTTAGTTAACATAATAAAGTAGTGTATATATATTAAAAATGTATTTTGTGAGCATATGTTTTCTAATAATATACTTAAACTTAAAACTATTTTAAAAGCCAAACGAATAATTAATATAAGTGTATCTAACAAGAAACGAAGAATAAAAAGGAATTATTATACACCAGAAAAAGAATGGGATGCCAATTAAAGTCTTTTTGAATCTGGCAACTGTGCATATTTAGCCGAGCTTCAAGACCGTCGACGTGCCGTCGATCCAAAACCGAAAATTGAAAATTTCCAATTATATTCTGATTATGATATTGCCGCGCCATCTAGTATTTTATTTGTGCAATTTTAGCTCTTTCATTTCGAGTATTTTTCTGTTGCGTAACTAGATATTCTGTGCTTTTATGAACGACGCAGTCAATGGCCAATATAAACTATATCTATCGCACCTTAACCCATTATATTTTCTATACGTAGTATACCGTACCTTGTTGGCGTCACGAGCCGCGGCACAGTTTAATACGTGTAAAACATAACAGGAACGAAGGACAAAATGAAATTTTGACCGGCAAGAGAGACAATGGGTAAAATAAAACGGTTTCAAGCGAAAATTGGACAAATTGGGAATAGTTTCGAATATTTTAGGATGTGAAATAAAGTGATTTACAAAAAGTAATATAATAATTTAAATAGGTTTTTCTAATTTTCTCCTGATTTTTTTTTGGGGGGGGGGGGGCATTGACTATTTGACCTCAAGGTTAAGCCGCCACTGATAGTTATTATTTCCTCATCTCTAGATAATAAAGAACTGTAGATAGATCTTGTTTTCCATTTAGAGTCACAGGATACAGTTATTAATTCATAAAACTTATAAAAAATGAACTTTTAAGAAAAAAAAACTAATTTTCCTTTTATTAAAACATTTTTATTTTCTTTTCCCCTCATTATTCTAGTACTTATACGATTGTATTGTGCTTTGTACGCTAGCCTAGCAAAATTATTCCATATAAAGAGGTATAAAACCGTGCAAATTACCGTCTTTATTTTTGTTTCGCTCTTTATTCTATATAAACTTTAGCGCTTTCCCGTTTGCTTTTCTACTTTATTTTATAGTTTAAAGTGCTTAATGTAGCGGAGATCAAACTTTTTTTTTAATAAATGAGTCAGACTTGTTCATTTACTCTTGTTAATTATTCAAGAATAATGAAATTAATTCTCCTAAAATTAACGTTTATGTTTTAAAAATAACCTTAATCTGCGATAATGTCATTATGACACATTTAACATCGCTATTTGGACGTCATTATGGTTTTCATAATAGCACTAGTGCTAAATTATGAATTCATAATAACATGCAAATTTTAAAATAAGAAACAAGCAAAAAAAGGTACCTAAATACGTTTATTTATTGTAAACATTAATTATAATATCAGTACAATTAGTTAAATTAATTCCAGACGATGACAGGTGAGTTGAATTTTTAGAAAGTAAATTTATTTCCTGAGTGCTTGAACTTGTTGAAGACCCATCATTGCCAGAAATGTTACCCAAAATATTACATGACACTTTTTTCTTATTTTCTTTGGAATTTTCTATATAGCTCTCTGCCACTGTGTTAGAGCGCCAACCACCATGTCTTTTAACAGTTAATAAATCCACTCCTGAATCTGCAAGCAACGACGCAGACGATCTACGGAAACAATGTCCAGTGTATTGTTGTGGATTTGGAAGACTTAGGAACAATGCTATTTTATACGGCATTTTCCCTAAAGTATTAATGCAACGGGTTGCTTAATACATTTTCCATTTCTGTACCCCACAAAAAATCGAGTATGATCTGTGTTGCTTGGCCGCATAGCTATATATCTTCGAGCCATTTCCATCATATTTATTCCCTTCCGTTATAAAAAAAATCTCGTGATATCTTTGTTTTCGTAAATGGAACAATGACATAAATGCATTGTTCTTCATCTTTACATTTTGCAGCTGCAGATTTGTCAACTCGATACGTCGGCAGGCTCCCGCAAGTCCCACTACCAACAAAACTTTTGTCAGGAAATAAGTTTTATCATCAGTTTCCAACAAAAAACGAGTTATGTCTTCTTTTCTTAAAATTCTCGATTTTTTTAGCGAAATCCTTCCGATTCACTTTTTAGAAATGCAGTTAAATGGATTACTAATATCTGTATTTTTCTTCACTGATATAACTGAACGTAGCATGGAATAACATACCCAAAGTGATGAAGCTTTCCTATGTTTTGAAAGATGTTCAAAATGTGCCAGGAGAATCTTTTCGTTACTACTATTCTTGATTCCTTTCCCTTTACACCAATCTTCAAGTTTTACATAGGCTTGCTCGTACGTCTTGATTTTTCGGGAAGTAGGGATTTGACAACGTTTTGCGCAATGCTTTCAATATCCGAAGGGACACTTTCAGAATCAGAATCATCTATAATAATATTATTTTTGATTTTTGCTAAAACTGAACGTTTAACACAAAATTGAACATCAATAATTGAGTTGTCAAAGTCAAAATGGAAACAATCAACAAGCACGATTACCACGGCCGGCGCACGGAGGGGTATTAGCATGAAAAAGGTGATCGAAATTCGAAAAAGCAAATGTGTTTAAGATTTCCCAAAAAAGATAAATGATAAGTTAAATCATCTCTGCCATGAATGACGTTGCTATGGTTGTGTTTAGTTGCATTCATTTGTTTCAACGAAACGTCAAAGTTGTTACTTCTCACAGATAAGAGGTAAATGGCTAAATTTGATGTTTAAAATTATAAATTGTTGTTGTTCTTGTGCTCTTTTTACGTTTATATTATCGTTTTGATTGAAAATGGCTCAGCAAGCTGCAGGTATGTATTCTACAAAAACGTATTATTTATTTTGATATTCTCTATACTAACGATTTTTTTGCAACTAAAAGTTAGGCGTTCAGAAAATTTGATAAATTTGTGACATTTTTATTATTACTTAGAGATTTAGTTGCGCATTTCGAAGAATTCAGCATATTGTCTATATACGTTTTACTTAGTAAACATTGGGCTTTCATACAGTAAAATAAAATACTGCGACTTTATGATCGACCCTGCACACATAAATGTATTACTCGCCAATAGAAATTTAAAAACCATATAATTTTTGTATTTAACTTTTTGCGGTACCTTATATATATACCTAATAATCGACCGTTTCCATACATAAAAGCAATCCTGTATATCATTACTCTTGCTTTGGCTTCTTAAATATACAGGAAAATTTAAAAGAAAATGCACTATATTCTCAACATCTTTGTTTCGCGAAAAACACTCATAGACGTGTTCCTGGGGTCGAAATTTACCAATCCTACAAATATTTCCACTTATTTACGACTCACCCTGTATAAGCAAATAATATCTCAATTTCATCCCAATTGACACTCTGTACAGTGTGTCACAAATTTTATTGAGAACTCCGAAACCATTTTGCAAATTTTGCAACTTCATCCTCATTAAATGATAGTTTGAAAATTATTCCGATTTCTTCCGAAGATATTCGAAAAAAAAACGAAATATTGTTAAATCGTTGTTATTTTATACTGGTTTTATTGTTTTTAGCTGACGAGATTCAGGAGAAAATCGACCAATGCCAACAGTCTTTGGAGCTTAACTTCAACTTGGAAGAAGTTGACATTCAGCATGATGATATTCTTCGCTTCGCCCTGAGAAAGATGCCTATCGAACGGTGCTACACCAGAGATGTGTGTTCTGGCTATAGCTTACTGGACTGTCTTAGAAAAGGTAAGAATATACAGGGCGATACCTTTCTTTTGCTGGCAGAAACATCCCAAGTAGCATCTATCTGACTTCGAACTAAATCTGACCTGAAGCGACGTCAGACTTTGTGCAAATTTAGGTCGGGTGCTCGTGATACGACCTGTGACGTCTCTTTTAATAGGAAAGCGACGTCGTTGGATCCGAGTCGGTAAATCCAACGATCTGTCGACGTACAATATAACAACGTACCATTTTTATTAATTTCCCAACGTCGTTCCTACGTTGGCTTGCACGACGGACATATACTTGAACTAGCCCGACGTCTACCCGTTGTCCGAATAGGATACGTCTCACTGATAATCCCTAAAGTAACGTCCAATTATATTTTGTTGTGTTTTATGTTCATATTTATAATCTAATTTACGTATCTCTATTTACGTCCGTAAATACAACCCATTAAGTAGCATTTGTGACCTAATGAACATCATGAACATAACCTAATAAAAAGTTTTTGTAAACAAACTTAATTTTTTTATTATGCCTAAAAAACACTAAAAAGGCATTTAGACATTCATCTACATTTTACAGAAAGAGGTCGAGGCTTTTGCAAAATAATAATAGTAGTAGTGATGTCTTGCCTCCACCCGTAAATGCTTTTTATCCGGAAGAGATGCTGCATTACACTGGTGCATCTTAATTTCATTTTTTAGCTTAGGAAACCAGCAGACCCCATCCTCCTCCGACACGTGAGGTTAGGCTTAAAAAAGTGGCTGCCCATTTTTTTAAGGAGAAAACAAAAACTAAAATATAGTTGCACAAATCCACAAATCACTGATACGCAAAGTGGGGTTACGTGGCGTACGTTGGAATTATATACGTCATAATACGATTGTCGGTCGTCCGGTTTAATGACTTCGGTCGTGTGAGACGACTAATGTTGGAGACCCGGTCGGAATTGGTATATTGGTAGTTCATATTAAGTCGGACACAGAAATCCGCCATTCTTAACACGTATCCGATTGACAGCCATTTTAAAATCGTTTTTTGTTTTTAAAATTCATATTCACATTTCGATTTCTAGTAGAATAATATTGATAAGGTTGAGTTTGGGGGGAACTACAGTACAGTTTTATGATTAAACCAGCTAGAAAATTAAAAAAAATATTTTGCGAGTTACTTTTTTATAGATATTTTTATTTCATAAATCTACCTAATTTTGAAGGCGCTCGTTGTTTTCGGCAGTATTTTAATCAGATATATCAAGAAAGTGACTTCCGTTGACAAAAGTGATGTCTGGATTAATGATTCAGAATTGTTATAATATGAAATTAGATAGGCACTTATAGCTATATTCGAGGACTGATTATGAATCCATTTGTAATTAGGTAGTTTGGTTAGGTTTTTATGTATTCTTGGTAGCGAATATGAAACCAAACGTAACGTAAGTGCTTAGCGACGAATTTTAAGTGACTAAAATCCAACGTAATATGACGTTGGTAATTGGTAGAATTACATTCCTTATTAGGTCAGATACCGACGTCGAGGCGACCCGAATCTGTATTCCCCATTTAGGTGCAAATAAGGGTCGTCAGGCGATCGAACCGACGTTGGTACCCGACGTCGGGTTTATTGAACGCGACGTATACCCGACGTTAGATAACGTCCAAATGCTATTTGGGATTACATAGTGTTTTTCACGTAGAATTCAGTGGTATAACTAGAATTTTACTGGGAGCTGTCATTCTTGAAATATGATCTAACCCTATGTTTTTTTAAATGGGATAACCTGTATATTTTTTTTATTTTATCTGCTTTGTTGTGAGTTTGCTAAAAATATAATATAACTTATACCTACTTTTTATAAATAAGGTAAAAATAATTTGTTAACTTTTTACTTTAGGCGGCGCGGCGGCCTTAAATTGGGTAATCAAAACAATCGAATAATTAATTTGACATCAAATTTTGCTTATTGGCTATTCCACGCTAGTTCCTCTGCGTGAAATTATTGCACAAGTGCATTAAAAATATCAGTAACATAAGCCAAACCTGTAGAAATTTAGATATAAGGATTAAAAAACATACAGGGTGAGTTTTCTACGATGTTCTCTATGGGTATCTCGGAAACTACTGGAGATAGAGAGTCGGTTAAATAGGGAAAGAATTGCAGTTTTGTGGGGTCATAAATATGCGCCTTTCAGATTTTTGAAAAAGTTCATGGCTTACTAGATATTTCGAAAAAAACAAATTTTGGCTATTTTAAAAATTGTCCCTAATTCCATTATAATCTATTTTAGACAATAAGTTTTCAGATAAAAGTTGTAGATAATCACATCCCTAATGAGACTGTGTTCTCCGACTTTTTCTAAAGCCTGTCATTTTTGACATATGACACAAACATATGTTTTTTTAAATGGAAACCATAGTTGGCCATGACTTCATAAAAAGCGCCATTTTTTAAGCTTTTCAGCGATATAAGTTCATAAAAAGTAAATTGTAGTAGTAGAAACTGGATTTTTTGTACACTTACTTATAAACGACAAATTCTGCAAAACACACAAAAATGCGACACACTACATCTTCAAAAAGAAACGTTTTTTTTTCAAGTCAAACTGTTTCAAGATATACATTAATTAGCATTATCGTCTGTAATCCAATTAATGCGTTTCGTTCGTTCGTTCGTTCTAACGACATTATCAGGATAAATAGTTGTTCCCCGCCGGAGTGTTTAGCGTTGGGGATGTTAAGTAGTGGCGTTTCCGCCCGCTTGACACGGGTCCTAGGGGAGGGTGGGGTAGTCTGATCCGACAGGGGGTAGACGAAGATAAAAAGGGCCTGTTTTGTACTAGGAAGGGATTCGGTACTAATTAATTTACGAGGGCGTGTTGTAGTTAGTTTGTTGTACGATAAATAACAGGAATTTTCGAGGAAATCTATTAGGAATTTGGTTAACAAAAGTTTGAGATTATTCTGTTCCAAACTTTGAATAAAAAGATAAGGAAGGAGTATAATAATATCCGTTTATTGTATCGGAGAGGGAATTGACATCATGAACACCCGTTTTTTGACAGTTCTGTTTGACGTTTCAATTTGACACATTTGAATTTGAGAAAGCTAGAACTTTTTTACGTAAAACAGGTGCTCTTCGTTTAGTTCGAAAACGTGAACGGTTTTTAAGATATTTACGTTTAAAGATTACGATGCATCGATTTTAGTATATTAGTAAAATTAATTTAATATTAGTGTAAATTAATAGAATATTAGTGTAATTTTTTTTTAAATAAATGAATCTCCTGATTTTGCTAATGCTAAAATCGATGCATCAGAACCTTTAAACGCAAATATTTTTTTAGAAAACCGTTTACTGTTTCGAACTTAACGAAGAGCACCTTTTTACATCCTAAAAAATTTTTATTTATTGAAATTACGGTATCTATAAGGATAAAAGAAGTACCACCGGTAGTACTCTCTACCTTAATGGAAAGTACCCTTTCAGGGCTGTTACAGAATTTTTTTCGGGAAGCATTTTAGGGCATATGCGTATAGAAACTTTTTGTTATATTTCTATCTATAGAATCACCTACAAAAGTTAGATACAGTATTTTTTGACACCTTGTACATATATTTGTATTTATATTTCTTTAATGTATATGTTTAGTATATTTTTTCTACTGGTCTATAATAATTGAAGAAATGCGTCTCATACAATACAAAATTATGATTTTCTTTTGTATTGAAGAAATGACTATATTTCTAGTGTTTTCCTCTATGAAACTATATATGTATATAAAAAATGCAAACTTTTCAAGCGATTTTATGTTTTTCCTTTGTTTCGCTATGAGCGTCGATCCGAAATCCCTTCAACAGGTTATTTTAAGAGACGGCTTAAAGATCGTACGGATCTATAAAGTGTAATTTACCGAACAAGGGATTTAATCCTTGAAGATATCTCCCGTTCTAATAGACTCTGTGCCCTAGAAAAATACTACATAGTCGTTCGTTCGCTTGTCGGCGATTTTAAGGTTGCCTAGTCTTAAAAGGGAACGATCCAATTGGTGGAGAGAGGTTTTTCCTTCGTTTTCCCCTGACGGGAAATTGAATAAGATTTAATGGACAAGATGGTGCCCGAAGTAATTTGTTCCGTTGTAAGAAACAAAAAGGAAGAAATAACAAAAACGAATTTGTTTCTTTTTGATAAAACTCTAATTCCGTCTATAATTGGATTAAAAACCGGCATGCTATGAGATACAAAAAAATATAAAAATAAAAGTATTATACAATAATAACATCCTTACTAATCTTGGTATGAAAATTTCCACAATACTTATTTGCTACCATATATTAAACGTACCAATGCTTGCATCCTCACTGGACGCCTCATGCTCAACTGCTCTAACTCTGTAACGGTAAAATGCCTTGCTCCAGTAAATCCACTCACACAGAGAAAATACTGCCTTATCTACAAAGATAATATCATTACGCCCAACGCTATATACACTACTTTCTCAGTGTTTGAATTGACATGTATCATGATATTGCTTTTGGAATATACACTGTCACTTTCTCAACTATAAGAATTCATTGATTTCCAATACATCATTTAACGATAACATTAATTGGATTTTAATAGGAGTGTATTTTTGTTGCATATATTATATGATATTGAATGAACTTGGCCTTATTTGAAGCAATTTAACTATGTCTTGAAATTAAGCTTTTATTATTTTTGAAGGGATTTTACTTTCATGTTTAATTTAATGTATCAACATATTTAATTTCATACAAGTTTATTATTGTTTAAATACAGTGTTATATTTGATATAATAATAAATGACCTTATTTTTTCTTCTTTCTTCTTATTAAATAAAATTTGTCCAAGGCCACCTATGCACTTGCAATGCTAATTTACTGTCTAAAATAACGAGAGAAAAAAATATTTAAATTAGTTTACCTTCTGGCAAATTCTCCGAGCTCTCCAATATAGTAAGTATGTCTCCTCGCATGATGTCTCTGGTTTATTGATTCTT